AACAAAGGGAGGGGGTAGCTGACAAGTCCTAACCAAAGAAGCATGAATGATTATCAGTATCAGACAAAAGTGAAAGGAAGGTGAAACACAGGAATAGAGACAGAACAGGAACACCATGCAAGGAGGAGAGGCATCCGTGGAGCAGACCCCACATCAGCTGTCAACGGTGCAGTCTTTAAATGCAAAAACTCAACGAAGGGGTCACAGCGCTCAAGAGTGAGTGTCCAGGCCCCTCTTCCTGCCCAGGGCTGTGAGCTGGCAGGGACACAGGCCCAGCTCCACCAGCCTCACCCCTTCCCCAGCTCACGTGCCTCTTCCTAGGGGAAGGTATCCTCCATTATGTGTGGGCGTCTGCAGCCACCTGAGTCCACTTCCTGGTTGAGGGACTCAAGGGCAGCTCTGTGGTGAGCAGGTGGCCCAGCTGTGGGAGGGGGAGCACTAGGGGAGGTGGCTACAGCCACCTGTGGGCCCCGGCCATGCATGCGAGGATGGGATGGGGGCATGTCTCTCCCATGGGTTAGGGCTTCTACTAACCTGCTTCTCTGCCCACAGTCCTCATCACGGGCGGCATCGTGGCCACTGCTGGCCAGTTCACCCAGTGGTATTTTGGCGCCTACTCCATGTATCCTCCCACTGTAGACCCCATGGGGCAGGTGGCACTGCCAGGGGTGGCACTAGTTGGCTGCGAACAGAGATACCACTGCCTCTGGGGGCACAGCACTTCACAGTTTGCGGACTGCTGCTCACAGTCCTGGCCCTTTAGCCTCAGCAGCATAGGCTCAGCTGTAGTTTTGGAAGCCAGGGCTCAGCAGGGCATTGACTTGTCTGGCGCTGGCAGGGAGTGAGAGGTGTCAGCACCCCCAGGGATCCTCTCTGTCCCCTCTTTTATCAGCCACCCTGTAGGCTGGCTGTTCCAGGTCCTCTGAAACCCAAGACAGGCATCGGGGAGGGAGGTGCAGGAGAGGCAGTGAAGTGGCCAGACCCATCGAATCCCACCTGGCTGTTCGCCCGCGATGTGGCTCTAGGCGGCTGCTGCACCCCTGTTTCTCATCAGCAGAGGGGTTCACTGTGGCGCCTCTGGCTGAGCTGGGCTGTTCCTTAACCGCAGCTTCAGTGTAGCAGGAGTGTTCGTCTGCCTGCTGGAGTATCCCCGGGGGAAGAGGAGAAAGGGCTCCACCATGGAGAGATGGTGAGTCCCCCACCTGCTCTGGGCTTCCTCCCAGGACACTACGAAGCTCCAGCACCAACCCATTTATCCTCCCGGGCAAACCAAGGCTGGTGCCTGCCTGTACAGCTGCTGTGGCCCACGGCCCCTGAGGAAAGAAGCTGGGGCGCTCTGGGGCAGGGTGGGAGGTGGGGTTGCTGAGTAAACCGTCTGTCTTCCCTCCTCACTTGGTCCAGTGGACAGAAGTACATGACGAAAGTGGTGAAGTTGTTCGGGCCCCTCTCCAGGAACTACTACGTCCGGGCCTTCCTGCACCTTGTGTGAGTCCCCGCCTGCTCCTGGGGAGATCCTCCCTCCTGGCCTGGCTGCCTGGGCGGGGGCGCTGGGGCAAGTGCGGTCTCTCTCAGCCGAGCTGTTTTTCCAAACAAACCCAGGTCCCAGGCTCTGCCAGAGGTTCCCCAAACCTGTACTTGTCATCTCTTGCTGAGTAACAGTTCACCCCAAACCTTAGCAACTTAAACAGGAACAGTCAGGGTTCTGGGGTAGACGGAGCTCAGCTGGTAGTTCTGCCCCCGCACGCACGTGCCTGGTGGTGACTGCAGAGGCCAGAATACTCTGTGTCCCTGCAGCTGCCGGGGCGTCCCTCCAGCACGACGGCTGGACCAAGCGCAAGGGCCCCAAGATTGTTAGGGTACAAGTCAAGCAGAGGACAGCTCCAGGGACCCAAACTTAAAAGCCCAGCCTTGGCAGGGCCAGGTGCTCCCTGAGTCCAGGCTCAAGGGGACAGCACACTTACGGTCGGTTTTGTCCTGAGATCTTATGGCCTCTGCCCAAGACCTGGACCCCCTGCAGAACCCCTGTGGCTGCTCTTCTGAGTCTCCCATCCTCTCCCCCTCCCCCCAGGCTGTCGGTACCAGCCGGCTTCCTGCTTGCCACCATCCTGGGGACAGCCTGCTTGGCCATAGCGAGTGGCATCTATCTGCTGGTGAGTGTTGTCTGTGGTCAGCCCTGCTGATGGTTGACACCTCAGTCCCTGCAGCCACCCGTGGGCTGAGCCAAGGCCAGGAGCCTGTGTCCTTGCTCATGCGATGGGGATGTCAGTGATGCTCCCCCACCCCCACCCCACAACAGGCCTGGGTGCCCTCGGGGAGGCGCCAGGCTGAGTGGGCCCCTGCCCTCCTAGGCCTCTTCCACCCTGTGTGCTGCCTGGCTTCTTGACTCAGCTTGATGGGCACGCTGGCCTGACCTCCCTGTCCTCCTGGGGGTGTCTGGGAATGTGTACCTGGAAGTGACCTCCAGGAGGTCTTTCCGAAACCCAGGGATTCCTAGCTCCCTCTTCTTTGCAGGGCCCCCCTGTCCCCTGAGAGGGGTGGGGGCTATGTTGGGGATGGACCCCAGAGGCCCCCCGGGCCCAGCCACTCTGTGTCCTGCAGGCGGCCACCCGTGGTGAGCAGTGGACTCCCATCGAGTCCAAGCCTAAGGAGCGGCCGCAGGTGGGGGGTACCATCAAGCAGCCACCCAGCAACCCCCCACCCCGGCCCCCAGCCGAGGCCCGCAAGAAGCCCAGTGAGGAGGAAGACGAGGCGGCAGCGGGAGTCTCCAGTGGCCCCCAGGAAAACCCTATCCCAGTGACCGATGAGGTTGTGTGAACTACTCTGAGTGGCTGCTGTCTCATGTCGCTTTCGGTGGGGGGACCCACCCAGACCCCCGAGGTACCCCCTTGCCTGCCCTGCGGAACCACAGGCCCTCTCTTGGTGTCATTCCCAGAAGCCTGTCTTTTCTCAATGGTACTTGAAATCACAAGCATCTTCTATTCCATGAAATACAGTTTCTGAAATTCCAAGTATTGAGTTTCTACTCTGGCAATGAAGTTCCCAGGCCTGGGAGGAGGGAGTGTGTGCCCCCCACCAGCTCTCCTGGATCTGCCCAGACTCACCTTCAAGAACCCCCAGTCCCACCTGAGCAGCTGAGTGAAGTGGGAAAGCAGGGGAGCAAGGGGAGGCCCCAGGGAGCCCAGCAGCCTTCACCTTGGGTGCCACCCAGGATGGCCAGGCCGGCTGTGGGGGCTTCAGGTCTGCCCTTGCCTCTCCAGTCCTGAGGCTGCAAACACACCAGACACCTCTCTCTCTCTCTCTCTCTCTCTCTCTCTCTCTCTCTCTCTCTCCCCCTCCCCCCGTCCCAGGAGGGCCAGCCGTGGTCCTCCTGGACACTGCCTGCTGCTCCCCAGCCAGGAGCCCCAAGATTTGCCTGCCTTTAGCTCACACCCCAGCCTGGAAGCCCCTTCCTCCTGAATGGGCTCTCCCCGGGCACTCACTCCCCCAAAGTCTGGAAAAGCCCTTAAACCCTTTGCCTCCTGTTTGTCCCACCTGCTCTCAGCAAATCCTACCTTCAGAACTGGGGGTCTTCTAACATTCCAGGGCCAACACTCCACTGTACCAGCCCTGCCCCAGGAAATGGCCACTCCAGCCTCCAGGACAATAAAACCACAGGCCCCCTTGACACCCCTGTATGTACCCCCACGCCCCCTTTGGGCTCTGTCTTCATAAATCTGCTTGTCACCTCCCACTCTGCTCTGTCTCTGCAGGCAGTTTCCAGCACTGCAGTTGACCTGCTGGCACCCACTCAGCACCACAGACTCCCACAGTCTAGGACAGATACTCTACTCCCTGGCCCCAGTTACTGCCTGCTCCTCGGCTTCAGCCACATTGACCACCCTTGACCCTCAGACACAGGCTGCCTTCTCAGGGCCTTGCACAGGCCATTCCCTCTGCCTGGAACACAGGTCCCTGGCTGGCCATGCCGGCCTTTGCCCAGGTGGCCTCCACGGCCTCCCTGACCCTCTGTTTGGAATTGCAGCCCCTGCCCCTTCCCTGCATCACTGTCCACCGAGGGAGCACTTTACTGCTTGTCCTGTGGTTGTCAGTCACCCCCATGTGTGGGCAGGCAGAGATCTGTCCGCTTTGTTCACTGCTCTGCTCCCAGTGCCCACACACAGAAGCTCAGTAAACACGTGCTGATCTCACAGTCCTTCTAGGCTCTTCCCAGGCACTTGCACGCAATGGGCACTAATCGGTGAGTGGAAATCCCACGGCCCCAAGTCAGCCTTGGAGCTGGCTGGGCCTGTGCCTCACAGGCTGCCCCAGGGCCCCTTCCACAGCTGCTGAGGCCACACTCCTAGAACCTGAACTGAACGCCTCCAGCAGTAACGTGCCTGAACGGGCAGATATGGGACTTGTGCAGTGAGAGCACAGGCTGGGTTGTCAGGTAGCCAGTGGGGCACCTGGCCTAGGGGTGTTGGCCTGCTTGGCTGCCCCTGGTCTGGCAGGTCACCAGTGGTGAACAGAAGCCCAAGGAGATGCCTGGGACATGGGGTGGCCTTTGGAGCTGCCTGGGGCTCTGCTGGGGTTGGGGAGCATGACTCAGATACCTGAAGGTGATGGCAGTCACCCAGGCTGCAAAGCCACCCTCCTGGGAGTTACCCTCAGAGATGTATGTCCCAGGGGTGGAGAGGGTGCTCACTGTCATTACATAGGTTTGGCCTACGCCTTGGGCCTGTCAGTAGAGGAGGGCCGGCCTACATCACATCGGCTGGGCTGTGGGAGTGAGGGCCATCCCCGGGCCCCAGAGCCATCTCTAGGGGGTATCGCCAGGTGGAAACTGTAGGGGCCAGCAGGGCACACCTGTGCTCCACTTTACAAACTCATTCCCCACCTGGTCGTACGTGGGGTTCCTACAGACTTTTCTGGACACACCAGAATCGGGCCACAGGGCCATCTGGGGGCCAGGGCCAGGCAGAAGGGCGGTGAGGAGGCAGTTTGTGCCGTGGATGCTGTGCTCCAGGGAGTGTTTATCATTTTAATGACACACATTTACAACAAACAGTTTTAGAAATACAGGGGTGGTGGGGAAAGGAGCTTGGGGGATCCCAGAGGGACCACCAAGGTGGGGGCCATCAGAACACATTTTCTGTTGTTTTAAGAAGTTATAGAAAAGTAACATTCCTCTAGCCCACTGTCTGTGAGGAAAGGTAACAATGTGGAGAGGGGGCTGACGAGCGCAGGGTCACTTGGCCCTTCCCGTGCCCAATCTTCACTGTTCTTCCCTCAAACTAGAGGCGTGGAGCCCTGGTACCCGCCCAGGGACCCTGGGCAGCAGAAGCAGGGCCACCCAGGGCATATAAATAGCCAATAAATACACATAAATAGGAGGGGCCCTCTCTGCAGAGAGATCCCCACTGTCCAGTCTGGGAGGTGATCCCCGCCCACAGCACAGCGGGACAGCTGAGGCCAGTGGTCACCGTACCACCCTGGGCAGGACGCAGGTGCAGCCGATGGGCACTCTGATGTACTCCGCGTGGAAGGCAAAGGCCCCAGGCGTGGGCACCCCGGATGCGTCCAGGGAGCAGGGCCGGCGGCGCAGCACCAGCAGGCTCTGGTGCAGCGGCACAGAGTTGAGCGCTGCTGTCTCGCGGCCGGTCCTGGCGCTGATGCAACCCCTGCACAGACACTCAGCGACGGCCAGCTTCTGTGGGTAGCGGTTCTCGTCCGTGTCCACACTGCCGGGAAAGACTGGTGAGGCCCTGCCGAGAGCCTCAGCAGGCCTGCTCCCCCCTTCCTGTTGTACCCCATGGCTGCCCCACACTCCCAGGCTGCTCCCGGCCTGAGTGAGAGCTGAAGCGTCAGGCTGCCAGGAGCCCAGTAAGTGATGATTGCCCGTGTCTCCAGTGCCCTCTCAGAGGCCTCCCTCCGTTCCGCCCTCTGAGCCCAGCCCAACCCTTGCAGGGGCTCAAGTGAGGGCCCCCGATTTTCCTAGGGGACGCTGGTACCCAAGGTCTGAGCTAAGATCTGAGACAACAGTGGCAAGGAGGAGCTCATCGGATGGAGCCTCACCCTCCGGGGCAGGGTCCTGGCTGGACAGAGGTCAGAACGCTCATCCCATTGAACTGGTGAAACAGACTCGCAGAGCCTTCCGGAAGCCAGTGCCCGGAAAGGGGAGGGAGCAGCCCACCGCCCACCGTGGGGATCCAGTGCCCAGGGAGCCCAGCCCTCACCGGTATCGCCAGGGCGAGATGGAGCGCTGGTGGATGTCGGCTTCTAGCACCTCCTCAGGCTGCAGCACCGGACACTGGGTCCCAGCTGGGGGCCTCTCCTGCCACCTCCTACGGCCCACTGCCTCCAGGCTGGACACCAGGGCTACTGGCAAAGTCTGCTCCCACTTGGCAGCTCGAGCCAGTAGGTGTGTGGGAGCCTGGCCCAGGGGCAGCTCCTCGGCTGAGTAGCAGCGTGGGGTCCCATGGGTGTGGCTGTGGGGGCCTCTCCAGAGTGCGGAACCGTGGTGGGCCAGGCCGGCAGATAGCCAGAGCAGAAGCAGAAGGCCAGGGAGGAGCTGGTGAAACAGGTGGTGGGCTGTCAGGGGGTGTCCAGTGAAGAAGGCACCTCGCTGCCACCCTGGCTTGCCCTGTTCTCTGTGGAAAGGTAGGGCATAGCCCACTCTCTACAGCTGGGGAAACTGAGGCCTAGAGAGGCTACTAGACCCTTAGCCCAAGCTCCCCAGTGGACCAGAGCTCCTGGGTCCTGGCTCCCTCCTGCCCCAAGATTTGGAGGGGCTTCCTGGACCCCATCCCAACATCATTAGCCCAGAGCTCAGGGAACTGCCAGTCCTTCTGGGCCAGATGGCACCATTCCAGGTGGCGGCGTGGGGAGAGACGGCTCACCATCTCCGTGGTGGCGGTGGCGGCTGGACTCTGAGCAGCTGGTGTGTGCCCGGTGCAGTCACAAGCACACCTGGCTGTGGTCCTGGAGTGCACCAGGTGCTAGACCTGGCCGTGGCCAGCTGGCAGCGCCCTTTATACCTCTGGCCACACCTGGGGAAAATCCGGCACCATTGCTTCCTCCTTGGGAAGTGCCCAGCCCCAGCTTCCTTCTTCCCTCCCTGTGGGTCTCTACTGACTGTCCCCTCCTCTCAGCCCAGGGAAGAAGCCCAGCCCTCACTCCAGACCCCCTCTCACATCCCATTACTCTCCCTCCTCCACTCAGAGGGACTCTACCCCAGGCTAAGCACCTGTGGATGGAGTTGAAAACAGGTCCTGCCTACGTAACATTCTTGAACTTTGTGTGAAGGGTTTTTGCTGAGCCTTCTGCAGCTCACTTCTGATTCCACTGGTATGTCTATATCTGGACCCGCTGACCTGGGTGCCTGGCGGAGCCTGCTCATCCGACGCCGCAGCAGTGCTCCTCCAGGATGGCGTTCTCCTGCCCGGCAGGGGACATGAGGTGGGTTCCATTTCTCATCTAAGATGACGAAGGTCAGGCGAACACTAGCGTCTGTCTCTACCTGCACAGGTGGGAGAAGTTCCAGGAGAGACTTGGGGGGCTGGGCCAGTGAGCATCTTCAGGTTTCTACAGGGTGGGCAAAGGTAGGTTTACAGTTGTAGTCGAAATAGAGTTTATTCTTTATTCTTTATTAATTACTGCATTATTTTTCATATGAACAACTGTAAAGCTACTTTAGCCCACCTTGTATTTGGGCATCTGTTTTCTTTCTTTCTTTCTCTCTTTCTTTCTTTCTTTCTTTCTTTCTTTCTTTCTTTCTTTCTTTCTTTCTTTCTCTTTTTTTCTCTTTCTCTCTCCTTCCCTCCCTCTTTTCTTTCCTTCCTCCCTTCCTCCCTCCCTTCCTTCCTTCCTTCCTTCCTTCCTTCCTTCCTTCCTTCCTTCCTTCCTTCCTTTCTTCCTCCCTCCCTCCCTCCCTCCCTTCCTTCCTTTTTCTTAAACAAAAGTTCAAGCTAAGATGATTGAGATGGAGTGGATGAAAATGCCTTGGAAATGATTTATTATTTACTATTTATTTATTTATTTATTTATAGAGGAAGGGAGAGAGAAGCATCGATTGGCTGCCTCCTGCACGTGGCCTGAAGGGGAACGGACCCACCATCCCTTGGTGTATGGGAGGACACTCCAACCAGCAGGCACACAGGCCAGGCGTGCCTTGGAAACTGGGGTGCAGTGCACCTATGTCAGGAGGCTTTATGTAAGGGGCTCCAGGAGCCCACCTGCATCCCACCCACTCAGTGCCGCTGGAGGGAAGAGGGGTGCTGGGGCTGCCTTTGTTATCCTGAAAAGGAGTTTGGAGTCAGATCTTACAAGGTTTTGAATGGGGTTTGAACATTATCCTGGAGAGGGCTGCCTGGGGTCCCTGGGCACTCTCCTGGCTGAGGGCCTGTCTCTCCTGGTCTCAAATCAGAGTCTAAAATGTCCAGCTGAGGAGAGTCAGGGGTGGGGTGGGGTGTCTTTCTTCACCTGCTGGCAGGTGCCAGAATGTACATACCGTGACATTGCCATTCTCTTTACATTTGAAACTGCATAACTGATGTGGCATGAAGACCCCCTGAGGGGAGGGCCCGAAGAAGGCCCCTGGTCACCTGGGCTCTCCCAGCTTTTCCATTCAGCAGTGTGTGGCTCTGGGGAAGGACTTGCTCTCTCTGGGCCTCAGTACCTGCACCTGTAAACAGGGCTAAGCTGCCCTCTGGGGAGCAAGTGAGGATTATTCTGAATGATGGGTGGATGGATGGAGAGATGCATTGAGTCCCCAGGATGGCCTCTCCTCTAGTGCCCCTACCCACTCACCCTCTGCTTGCATGCTTCCTGCAATGGGAAGCTCACCCTCTGCATTAGTTTGCTAGGGCTGTCAATAATAAAGTACCACAAACTAGGAGGCTTAAAGCAACAGAAAATTATTCCCTCACAGTTCCGGAGGCCAGAAATCCCAAATCAAAGTGTCAGCAGGTTGGTTCCTTCTGGGTTCTCAGTGAGGATTCTTCCTGCCTCTTCCAGCTGCATGTGGCTGCTGGCGATCCTTGGAGTCCTTGGTTTGTAGACTCTGCCTTCCTGTTCACATGGCCCTCCCCCCGTGTCTGTGTCTTCTTCTCAGGACACTCAGCCTAATCCATCAGGTTCTCGTTTCAAGACCCATACCTCCATTATGTCTGCAAAGACCCACTTCTCAGATGAGGACACATTCCTCACAGGTACCGGGGCTAGGACGTCAACATATTTTTCAGGGGGACACAACTGAGCCCAGTACTCCCTCTACCAGGTGGGTTTGGTCTGGTCAAGAGAGAGACCCTCCTTAGGCTGGACTGACCTGTCTCCCTGCTGGGGCACTTGGCGGTCTCAGAAAAATCCCAGCCCCTTCTTGCTGCCTCCAAAAGGTAGTGTGAGCCCCTTGAGGACAGGGACAATGGCCCCAACACACCCTGCCCAGGTACTTAGGTGCTCCATTAACAAAAGGGAGATAAGCCTGGACTCCCCCATGGGAAAAACAGGGTGACAATGTCCCCACATGCAGGGGCACTAGGAGGCAGGCCCGGAGCTGAGTCAGAGCCGGAGGGAGCAGAGGGAGGGAGGCCAGTGGGCAGCAGCGCTCTTCCTTTGGGCTGACAAGTCCGGCTGCATTCATGCAGGTGCTCAATTAGGAAATGAAAAGGCTATAAAACTGTTGTTTGTACCAGGCTCCTGGGTGTCCCCACCCCGAAGGAATGCATGGATGCTTGAGTCCAGCAGGGGGAACAAAGGGTGTCCCCTGCCCAGGCCAATCTGGTAGGGTGTCTGCATTTTCTGTGTTCCTGTTTCTGTTCTGAACAGCTGACTGGGTGGGTGGCGGGAGCTGCACTGGGTGGAGGAAACTCATCCCTGAATTCATACTCATTCTTCCTCACGTTGGGCCCGGGAACTCCCAGCACCGTGCCCCAGAGGCGTGAAGGCCGGTTTCCTGGAGGAAGTTGGCCCAGGGACTGAGAGACAGGGGTCCAGCAACGCCTGCCGAGGCCAGAAGGGCACAGGGTGGACTGGGGCGGTGCCTCATTCCTGGGCTGCTGAGGCAAGTGCAGAAGTCCCAGGTTGGGCAAGACTGGAAAGGCGCTGCCAGAGGAAGGCAGGAGGGCGTCCTGAAGGTGGTGGCAGGAAGACCCCCCTCAAACCACATCCACTGTACCACACCCCAATGGCCACACCCCCAAAAGTCCCAGAGACACACAACCAAGAGGATGGAGATGCAGGAAGAATGTGTGAGAAGATTTAGAAGGAGGAGGAGGCATGGATGGAGACAGGTGCAGAGTCACAGACAAATCCAGGAACAGACTGGCAGAGGAAAGGCAGGGCAGAGAAAAAGGCAGAGGCCAAGGCGGGAAGGCAAAAGCAGGAGACACAGGGACAGATACGCCAAGGACCTGTGTGGCCCCGTCAGTGGCTCGGGGCCCTTCCAGCCCTGACTGGACAGAAGCAGTCAAGTGGGCCTGCAAGAGGGGTTTGCTCCAGGCTCTTTGGGCTCCAGGCTTGAAGTTGTCACCTATCCTGGAGGGAGGCCCACCAGCAGAGCTCAGTTCCCCAATCTGTGAAGTGGGGGTGACAATTTTGGCCCCCCCTTCCTGGAGGGTATGGCGTTCCCAACCACTGAGCCCCAGGCAGCCCTGCCTGTGGTCAGTCTATCACACAGCCCAGTTTTCTTGTTCCCACAGCACTTTGCGCTGCCAGGAATGACCTCTTTACCTCATCCTTGTCCAGGGGGATGCTGTCCAGGGTGGGGAGGGGAGTCCCTGCTTGTTCACCCAGGGCCTGGCCTTCAGCCAGAGCTCCTGAGCCGCCCCTGCTGAGCGAGGATGACCGCTGCTCACGGGGGCTTTCAGTGGGCAGGGGAGTTGGCAGAGAATGGGGAGGGGGCAGGTGGAGGCCCAGGGTTTGAGGGAACAGCAGGGGCTGGGAGATGGAAATCAAGACCTGACCCCTTCCTCGGGAAGGCCCAGTGTTAGGAGCTTCCTGCCTAGTGCTTCCCGGGTCACACCTGAGAACAGTGCTGTGGCAGCAGGCATGGAGGGACTGAGGGATGGGGCCAGCTTGCCTGAGCTGAGAGGAAGCAGGATGAGTCAGGTCAGAGTTCCAGGAACCAAAACAGCATGTGCAAAGGCTCCAGGCAGGCGGGAGGGGTTAGCATGTGCAATCCCTCTGGCTGTGGAGTGAGGACTGGAGGGAAGGGGATCCACAATGTTCTGGACACTTGAGCAGACTGGTGGATAGAGATGGAACTTGAGAAACCCATAATTATTCCCACTATTTGCATGTAACCACCTGTCAGGATCAGTCCTCACATTCCCTTGAGGGCAAAGATGCCTGAGGATCCCATCCAACAGAGGCCTCCCTTTTCTCAGCTGCCTGATCCGAAATGTTCTTTCCACTAGACCTTGGGAGAGGAAGAGCTGGCTCTGGGTGTGGTCCTCGCTCCTCCCAAGACAGCCACCTGCCCAGCCTAGCCCAGGTGAGCTCCTAGTTTAAACCTAGCTTGGGTCAAAGGGACCTAGTGCTATGGCTCCAGCCGAGGCATTAGAGGTCAGGATCAGGTCAGCCTCTTGGGACCAGAAGGGGCTGGTGGGGTGAACAAGGAGGGCTGAGGACAGACTATGTAGTGGGCTCACCTGTGGGCTCCTGGCTCAGAGGGACAGTTGCTGCCCAGCTGGATTGCAGGGCCTAGTGGCTTGGGGCACAGAACTCACAGGGACAGGCTGTCCTGGGTTCTGACTCGTGTCCTTGGAAGCTACTCATTCAGAAAATGGGAGTTCCCTTTGCACTTGGCTTTGACCTAAAGGCAAACCAAATAAGCCTTTAAAACTTGACTGAGGCTGCTGTGACGTAAGAGGATCTGGTGTCCTGTGCTATGCGAGGGGCATAGACATGAAATGAAAACAGTACACTCAGGAGGCCTGGCTGCATGGCCAGCCCACACTAGCCCCCTCCAAGCTTTCCTGTCCAGTGTAATTGCTGTATAACTGTGGGGCAGGGCACCGTGGAATGCACCCTGTAAGCTGGTCGAAGCTCAGGCAACAGATGAGAACCCCAGGCTGCTGCCTGACACTGGCCGGCGGGGTCCTTATAGGCTGGCAAGGGACTGCCATGGAGCTGGGGAGCTGGCAGAGAATGGGGAAGGGAAGCAGAGCTGGAACTGGGGGCAGCAGCGTGGGCTCTGGGGGGCATTTTGTCCACAAGTCCTTATGGTACTTGCTATATGATAACCTGAGGGTGGCAGGGCACCCGGAGGCCTATGGTACCACTTTGAGTTTAATCCCACTAGGAAGGACCCTGAGCGAGCACTCAGGTCCCCCATCCCCGCCCTGGTCGTGACCCCACTGCGGCGGCTCCAGGCTGCGGTGGGTACTGCCAGTGCTGCTGCTCTCAGAACTGCTGGCATTTCTGCTCTGCAGTGGGCGGACGGAGTGGTGTGGGGGGACTGGCTGGCGCATCTAAGGCTCTGAGTGGGGAACTGGCTTTGGGGATGGATGATACAGCCTGGCCTGAGGAGCATCCTTCCTGACTTCTGCAGCCCCAGGGCCTCTACTGGGAAAGGTGTTCACAAAGCCCCACCAGAGCCAGTTCCACTGTGAAGAAGCTGAGGAACAGCACTCCCTGGGGGCCGGGGGCAGAGTGCTTGGGCTAACAGGAGAGTGAGCAATTACTGTTCTGGGTTGAAGGCTCCCAGGGAACGGCACAGGGGCCTCTGGTAAACTCCATGTCTTCAGCCTCCATCAGCCAGGGACCCCTAAAGAGCAGGTGGGCCCCGTGAGGTGGCAGA